TATTATTATTATTATTATTAAAAAGTATTTCAAACTAAATAAATTGCCTTAGAGTAAAAAATTGATTTTATTTATTTATTTATTTATTAAGAAAAAAAAACAAAACAAAACAAACATTATTCGAAAATAATAATACCCAGTTTTTTTTGTTTTTTTTTTTTGTTTAAATGGATAAAATTCGTTTGGGGGGTGGTTTATTTTGTGAGGGGGGTGTAAGGGGAAGGGGTGAGATAAAGGGTATTAAAAAAAAAACGACTTCGTATAATTTTCATCGTAAATTTTCATCGCATTTCCTAATAAATAAATAAAACATCTTTGAAAAAAAAAAAATTCGTCTTATTAATTTTTATTTATTTAATAAATAATAATAATAATAATAAAACGTTAAAGAAAACAAATTTTTTATCATCATTATCAATATCATTTTAAGTAGGAATTTTTCCGACCTGGCATTTTTTCCCCACCCATCCATTCCCTAAAAAAAAAAAATATTAATAATAATAAAACAAATAAATACTTTCGAAACGTTATTAATAAATTATTATCGTTTAATAATAATAATAATAATAAATTAAAATCGATGATACACTTTAATAATAAATTATTAAAATAAAATTTATCGATATATATACAATATACAATTCATGATTATTAAAATTTTATTTAAATATTTTTATTGTACGAAAAATCGTCATTATCATAAAATATTACGGTAATAAAAAAAAATATATATATATAAGGTCATGTGCGTGAGAGAGAGAGATAGAGAGAGTGCGTATTTATTTATATTATTATTATTATTATTTATAGGAAAAAACACATAATAGAAGAAGAAAAAAATTTATATAAGGTTCATTTAAAATTAACCGTATCGGATTTTAATAAAAACGATTTGGGTACTTATATGTGCGTATCGACAAATTCATTAGGTAGAGCGGATGGAACGATTCGTTTATACGGTAATTTTTATTATTAATTAATTAATTAAATAAATAAAATTTATGTTAATAATAATAATAATATTAATAGAAATAAAAGTACCGACGAAAATACCAACGACGACGACTACTACGACGAGCACAACGGAAATTTCGTACACATACACGGCAGTTGGAGCCATCGAAGGAACAACAATAGAAAAAATCGTAGAAATAAAAAGAAAATTTATTCAATCACCGACAACATTAGGTAAGATTTGTTATTGATGACGTCATTAATTTTTTACGCGCGCGATTTGCGTCATCATCATCATCATCGTCATCATTATTTTTATTTATTTACTTTCCAGCATCTTTAGGATCTCTTAAAGAGGAAGGAACCATAGGTCGTAGTAGTTCGACATTGGAAAAAGATTATAACGAAGTTAGCATGTCGTCATCCTCTTCCTCCTCTTCCTCTTCCTCTTCTTCCTCCTTCTCCTCTTTCTCTTCCTTTTCCTCTTTTTCTTATTTTTTTTATTTTTTTCCTTTTTGAAATTTTTTAGAAGAATATTAATATAATAAAAATTCAATTTTTTTATTTTTATTATTTATTTCTTTGTGACGTTAAATACATAAATAATAATAATAATAATAATAATAATAATAATAATACTTTTTCTTTTATGGAAAAAACTTTAACGTTTTTTTTTATGACATTTGACATATCCGGTTGAAATTCCAGGAAAAAAAAACCGACTGGAAATCGTTTCGATAGTGAAATCGCTCAGTTAATATACTTATATAATATTATTATTATTATCATTCATTGTAATATAATGTTAAATAATTTTTTTTAATATAAATTTAATTATCGCTCAGAAAATTATTTTTCTATCCATTTCCGTCGATCGCGTGCGGGAGTACACATCCGGTACAATTTTTTTTTGATCATTTCCGGTAGTAGAAATTGTAAACAAAAGAAAAACAAAATGGCGGATGAGATAATAATTTTTCTTTTATTTATTGTAAATAATAATAAATAAATTCAATCATGATTAATTAACGGTACACAAAAAAAATTATTCTATTATTAATTATTATTATTATTATTAATTTAACTAATAATAATGATGATAATCGTAGTGTTCTGTACTATTAATAATAATATTATTTTTATTAATCACGTGAAAAATTAATAAACAAATTATTTTAAATTATAAAATTTTTTTTCTCGCTTATTAAAATTATTATTAACATTTATTAAATACAAAAAAAAATTAATAACTAATTAATTAATAAATAATAATAATACTAATAATTTTCTCGAATATTCTATTTAATAAAAAAAATTATTTGTAATAAAATTATTATTATTATTATTATTATTTTTTAACATTTTTCGAATTGGTATTTTTCGTTTGAGTTTTATTACTGCTATTGCTGCTGCTGTTGTTGTTGTTGTTGCTGTTGCTGCTTCTGCTTTTTTTATTAGTAAATTCTGTCGGTTCCGATTGTGATGGAGATTTTGCTGCTTTTGAACTTACAAATTCATCCTAGGGGGAGGGAGAGGGGGAAACGACGTTTGTTAATAATTAATTATAATAACTTCAAATATGAATTTCGTTAATTACGAAACGAATAATAATAATAATAATAATAATAATAATAATAATAATAATAATAATAATAATAATAAAATTAATACTTCGTTCGTGCTCGACGACGGAATTAATAATAAATCTTCTGTTGATAATGAGCTCGGAGTCGGAAGTGCGGCCATTTTGGCTGCTTCCTCTCTCGCAGCTCTCATTGCAGCTCTTTGTTCCTTTTGTTGATTTTCTTGTTCGAATCTTCTCGCGCTATACGAATAACTTCTCTGCGATGACGTAGTGCTGTGAACGGAAGTTAAACTTTGTTTTCGTGAACCTGAAAATCCCAAAAAAAAACCAAAAAAACACAACTATTATTTATTATTACCCAAAACAAACAACAAACATCTTTTTATATATTAATTCATTTTTAAAGTCGACAAATAATAGTAATAATAATAATAATTTAAACAATCGACTTTTTTTTTTTTTTTAAAAACTTACGAAATTTTTTCTGTTTGTTTGTTTGTCGTTTATTCATGCTTAATAATATAAACAAAAGTTGAACACACGAAGGTTGAAGAAAGGAAATAAAGAATCATATGCAAAACTACATCGAAACACAATAATAATAATAATAATTTATAAGTCAGTTATTATTAATATTCGCAATAGAAAGAGAGAGAAAGAGAGAGAGAAAAAACAACATGAAAAAAATTTTTTTTTTTTTTTAAATTAATATTTACCGCATTTGCAGCCATCTTGCTTATCCGATATATAATTACCTTGATAGTATGATTGATTGATTGATTGATTGATTTGTCCAAACAACAACTCGTCACTTTTTTACTATTTAATAAATAAATAAATATATGTTTTTTTTGTTTGTTGTGTTGTTTGAATGTTGTTGTTGTTGTTGTCGTCGTCGTGGTACGAAATATATTTATTGTATAAACGTATAATATGATGTTTACTTAAAATTAATTAGAAAACAATTAATGCAGTGCCTCAAACACCAACATATAAAGAGAATTTTTTTTTTTTTTTTTTTTTTTAGTTAAAGAAAAGGGAGAAAACAATCAAACTCAAGCAAGCGAGGAATCGAAAATAATTTTTTTTTTTTCTTATTATTATTATTTTTTTTTTTATTTTTATTGTTACCGATAAGGGAGGTTTGTTCTACATCATTTTCTTCAACGTCTTCAACGTCTTCGTCATTATTATTGTTGTTATTATTATGAACAACTTCTAAATCGTTTTGTCTTGAGGATGCCTGAAGTTGACATGGGATAAGCAAGATGGCGGCTGCACGAGCCGCACCTGCTCTCGATGGCGGTACCAAAACTCCTTTATTCCTTGGATATTGTGCCAAACTCATTGTACTTCTCTGACACGATGATGATCTCGATGATGGACGATTTTGTACTGTGAGTGGTATCCCTGATTAATTACGAAACGAATTAAAATTTAAAATTTTGTTTTAATTAATGTTTGTTGTTAAAATTGCAGGAAATTACTCGTTACCGTTTATCCATTGATTGTCACTTGAAAATAGTAATGGCGGTGCTAAATTTGCATTTGCGTAGTGACGTGTCGGTGGATAACGGTTACCACTGAACAGTCGTAGGACGAAACACAATAATCCGGTAAGTACTGCAATACCCGTGGCAACACCTAAAAGAGTCGGTAAATCGGCAGAAACGACGACAACATCTATAAAAAATTTAAAAAAATTAATGGCGTCGTCGTCGTCTTTGTCGTCATCGTAGTGACAAAAACAAATTTTTTTTTTACCTTCCGTACAAAAAACCTTCCTCACACCTTTTCTTAAGGCAACCGTGTGAAATCCAGGCTTACACTGACATATGGCATTATGATGTATTTGTGTACAAATTGCGTTCGGATCGAAAAACGAACACGTTTGAGCATAAAAACATTGATCACCCAATTGTTTGGCTAAATAAAATACTTTTAACGTTATAATAATGATGATTATGATTAATAATAATAATAATAATAATAATAATAACTCACGTTTTTCGCATCCACGCATTATACCTATTTCAACCGGATATTTATCTTCGCATTCGCATGTTTTTTTTTTCTCGTCGCATATCACGTGTATTAATTTATCACTGCAAGAATATTCGCAAGGTCCACCCAAATAGGTACCCAATTCTACGATAATCAAAACAAATAAAAAAATTAAAAACCTGGAATTCGAATCATGATTTCCTTCCTCTTCCCCCACTAGAAAATAACTGGAAAAATTCCAACGATTCCCCCACCCCCCGCCTCCTCTTCTTCTCCCACGACAAAAATTTTTCTAGTTTTACGTAATGAAACGTAAATTAAACGAAAAAAAACTTGAGGGGGGGGAGGTTCATTTTCATTGACGCCTCTCATTTTTTTTTTCCATTAACTAAATGACAAATAATAATAATGATAATAATAAATCGTTGAGAATTGAAATTTTTTGAGAGAGGTAGAAAAATTTTCCGACGTTTTT